CGACCAGCATTGGCGCGAGGTCGACCGCTGCCTCGCCTACCTCGCCGACACCCGCGACACCGCCTTGGAGTTCGGCGGTGGACCAGAGTCGCTGGAGCTGATCGGCTACGTGGATGCCGACGATGCAGGCGACAAGCAGAACCGGACGAGGACGGTCGGCTACGTGTTCATCTTCAGAGGGGCCGCGATCTCTAGGTCGAGCTCGCGCATCAAGTGCGCGACGCTCTCCTTGACCGAATAAGTCGGAGTACGTCGCGGCCACGGACGCTGGCAAGGAGGGACGCCGACTTCGTTTCCTTCTGGCGGAATTCAAGCTGCTCGACGCTGGGAAGCTGACAACAGCCAACGGATGCACAACGATGCAAGTCAGGCCAATCGTCTGCGCGCACCTGCGAGCGTGCGCACTGCTGTCTTCTACGGGGCAACGCTGGACAGCTGCGCTGCTGCAGCGTTGGCACGCCGTCGACCTGCAGTGTTGGCAGGTCGCCTTTCTGCAGTGCTGGCGCGGCTCCTCTATGCAACGCTGGCAGGCGGTCGACCATGCAGTGCTGGCGGTCGACCAGGCTAGGTCCATTCTGTCATGGCTTGTGTAACATTCTGTAATTCCAACTTTGCCTAGTGAAACTCTTGCCGATTTCTCCCGTGAATGTGCAAGTACTAAGGAACTAGGCAACGCTACGATCACTCCTATTAGTTCGTGCCAACCCCCGTAGCCTAGCTCACTACCAGTGTAGAGTGATTCTCCGCACTACTGCAGCCGCACGTAACTTTGGGTCTCCCTGCTACTGCTGCCGCACGTGAGGAGCAGCTACCCTCCGCTCCAACTCTAGGCTCTCTCTCTCCAACTGCAGCTGCCCCTCATGTGCACGGCGAAGAGTTGCAGGCGCGGAGAGTGAGGGTAGTCCTCAGTGCTCCTCCAACTGCTCCAACTTGCAGCTGGACCCCCTGCTCTTCGCCGTGCACGTGAGGAGCAGCTGGAGTTGGAGAGAGAGAGCCTAGAGTTGGAGCGGCGGCAGCTGGAGCTACGGCAGATGGAGGAGCAGTAGCAGCAGCAGCCGCAGCAGCAGCAGTAGCAGCAGCAGCAGCCGCAGCAGCAGCAGCCGCAGCAGGAGCAGCAGCAGCAGCAGTCACCAGCAGCAGCAGCAGGAGCAGCAGCAGCCGCCACCTCCTCCTCCTGTCTCTGGTCTTCGGACCCTCGGTCTCCCCTCTCCCTCTCCTCCCTCCTCCCCCTCTCCTCCCGTCTCCGGTCCCCCGCTTCCTCCTCCTGACCCCTCCCCAGCTGTTTTCCCCAGTTCTCAGCCTATGTTCTCCCCTCCTCTTTCTCACAGTTGGACTTCTCGCTCTCCTCGTGCTCGTCCCCAGTCCCCCTTTTCCCGTCACTGACCTTCGTACTGCCCTGTTTCGTTCTAGTCCGCCTCGTTCGTCTACGTCTGTACTTCCTTCTCCTCCTGAGTCGGCACTCACAGCTTCCCTCTCTACTCCTGTCACTGACTACTACCGCACGTACCGTCCTGTTCTCTCTCATGTTCTCGCCTCTCTTGTTACCGACCCTCGTGCGTCTTCAACCTCTGTCTCCGCCCTTACTGCCGCAGTCACTGAGTTCGCCACTACTCGCCGCCTTGACTACGCCACTAGTCTTGTGGCTGCTCCTCCTACCAGTCCTTTGGCCACGGGGGTGAGTCTGCCCTTGGCTGTGACGCCCTAGAGGACAGGCAGTTTGAGCTAGAGTTCCTGGCAGCCGCTTCCCCTCATCTCTGTGCCATGCTGCTCGCCCCTAAGGGAGACCCCGACGCCCTTGACATACCGACTCCTCGCACTTACGCTGAGGCAGTGTCAGGGCCTTGGGCCTCTCAGTGGAGAGCTGCTATGGACTCAGAGATGGCCTCTTACAGATCCACTTGCACCTACGTCGACGAACATAGTCGATGGCATGTGGATCTTCAGGGTGAAGCGGCCACCGGGATCTCCTCCAGTCTTCAAGGCGCACTATGTGGCTAGAGGTTTCAATCAGCGCGAGGGAGTTGACTTCTTCCAGATTTTCGTGCCTACCCCGAAGATGACCACTCTTCGGGTGTTACTGCACGTAGCAGCACAGAGAGACTACGAGCTACACTCCCTCGACTTCTCCACTGCCTTCCTTCAGGGTAGCCTACACGAGGAGGTCTGGCTGCGTCGTCCCTCTGCCTTCACTGGCACTTTCCCTCCTGGGACCCAGTGGAGGCTGAGGCGACCGGTCTACGGTCTCCGTCAGGCGCCTCGTGAGTGGCACGACACCCTTCTTTACCCTATCTGACCTCGGTTTCCAGCCGTCTTCTGTCGACCCATCGCTGTTTGTTTGTTATGGCTCCACACCGTTCTTTGTACTGGTCTACGTCGACGACCTGGTCTTCGCCACTGCTGACAGGGTTGCTTTGGCAGACGTGAAGTTCGAACTGCAGAAGAGACACACGTGCACTGACCTTGGTGAGCTGCGCCACTACCTTGGCCTGCAGATCACCAGGGACAGAGCCGCTCGCACCATTACACTCTCACAGTCACACATGGTGCAGCAGGTCCTTCAGCGGTTCGAGCTTCAGCGCACACCTCTTGTCGTTGACCACAGACTCACTGGTCCCTTTCCTGACGAGCCGTTCGAGCCTAGTGGTCCTTACGCAGAGCTTGTGGGCTGCCTCATGTACCTGATGACTTGTACTCGCCCGGACCTCGCCTTCCCTCTCAGCATCCTTGCTCGCTTTGTTGCGCCAGGGAGACACCGTCCTGTTCACTGGACAGCTGCTGTGAGGGTGGCAAAGTACCTAGCGACGACATCAGGCATGGGGCTGGTTCTTGGAGGGACACAGCCTGTCGTACTTACTGGTCACTGTGACTCTTCTTACGCTGACGACGCCGAGACTCACAGGTCTACTCAGGGGTACTGCTTCAGCCTGGGCTCTGGAGCTGTTTCGTGGAGGTCCACGTGTTCCTCCTCGGTCTCGACCTCTACCGCTGAGGCTGAGATCTACGCTGGAGCCATGGCTGCACAGGAGCTGCGTTGGTTGACCTTCTTGCTCACCGACCTTGGTGAGCGGCCGAGCTCTGCACCGACCTTGTTCACTGACAACAAGGCGACGATTCTTCTCTGTCGAGAGCCTCAACTGGAGAGCAGAGTGAAGCACATCAAAGTCAGGTACTTTCTTCAGCGAGAGCTGTAGAGGCGTGGACAGGCTCGCTTCGACTTTGTGGAGTCCGAGGCCAACACTGCAGACATCTTCACCAAGGCCCTTCCGCCTCGTAACCACCAGAGGTGTTGTGTGCAGTTAGGTCTCGTTGACACAGGTTCTCGTCTTGCGTAGTCTTGTGTTCTCTCCTTGCTTTGTTAGTACGCTTTGCATATACCTCTGTGAACTCTTGGACTAGCCTTGTGGCTCTTTTGCTTGTGCGTAGATTGTGTGGTGACGTTGTGATCCACCCTGAGCTTTGTCTCTTTGTGACTGGTCTTGTGACCGTACGGTTTTGGTTTTGCTTGACACCCCTCACTTCGGCTATGTCAAATGTTGTAGCCTTTAGTGATGTGTGTCATATGGGGTACAGCAGTTAGGGTTAGGTTTATGTACCCCAACCAACCATAGTTAATGCATCATTCTTACAGACCAAATCTGGGTCAGCGTTGGTTTGTGCAGTAGACACAACTCGAAGGACATCTAAAATGGCTCTTGAGAAGAAGAACAAGTGCAAGGAAGGGTGTGAAGTACAAAGAAATACCTCAAAGGAACATTTTCAGACTGTCAGCTTTTTTCTGTCATCCTATGTCGTTTAGAAGCAGAAGCTTCACGCTTACTACCACGCCTACTAATGACAAGGATTAACTACATTTCTGAATCAAGATCAGGTTTCAACCAATCAAGCAATCTGACCATGTCGGATCAAGAACTACATGTTTTCCAAATGACTTCTCTATCAACTCACAAAGACCAAATCTCTTTGTTTCCTGGCGACAATTTCTGGCAGCTGGAAGGGAAGGTCGATGCTGAAAGCAATATTTTGGATTTTACGGCTGAAAACTTTCAGGATAAGCCTATGCCGCTGGAAGAAGCTGGTCTATGGCGCTACATGACTATGCAAGAGACAGGCGTTGTTTGTCAGGGTACTCAGAAGGGGGCCGTCGTAGGTGCAGCTGCTCTTGTTTTCTCTCCTCGGACTGTGGGGATAGCTCCGAGCACATAGGTCACGCAACTGCCTCGAGTGACCGCGACTGTGACAAGGAGCCGTGGTGCACAAGGCCCTGTTGTTAGGCGGCAAGTTTGAATCTGGGCATCTTCTGCTCTAACCTAGCTGTACCACTCTCGACAAGTCAGGTTTGGTGGAGCTGACGAACCAAGGCTGATGTGCCACTTCCGTCACCAAGGCCCTGTTCGGAGTCAAATTCGAACCAGGAATTTTTCAATTGGAACCCTACCTTACAAGATTCGGCAAGGCATGCTCGGAGCCAATTGTAATAATTTGAAGCGACACATACAACATGTGGAGTCTATTAAAGCCCGAGTCTAGAATGGTAAAATTTCATAATTACTGAACTTGAAATTAGGTTTGCGAATTGTGACGAGTGCTGAATTCGCCTAACTAGGGTGGCGAAAGGTGACGAGCGCAGAATGAACCGAGCGAGCTGTTTCAGCACCTTCTGGTTCAAGATCCTTGAACTAGCCACAAAGGACAAAAATGCTACAAGACGAGAGGGTTTGACGCGCCACACTTCTAAGCTTCAGTGGTACACAATAATGTTACAAAATATTATGCAACACTTATTACAAATGAAAAGACGTCCTTTTTTTTGCACAAGTTCCACTCTAAATAATGCATTCCACTGCAGCCGTATGTGTGGGTGCTTGATCGACAGCAATGATCATTGCTAAATGTTTTAGAAATTCAACGATAAACTCATCAATGGCACAAAAGAAGCACACTATACAATGTCGAGTCAATGGTTCCGAAACCAGCTCGCCTAATCCATCTTGTGCCCATTATCATTCTTCCGGCTCACACTTGTGAATGGTGAGTGATGGTGCTGCATCTGTGAGTCGCGAGTCAGGGGCACAGTTGAGAAAATCCCTAGAATGAGAAACGGGGGAGAGGACATGGGCATCGAGGGAAGGGATGAGAAGACAAGGGAGGGAAGGGAAGGTAGTAGACGACAGTGGAAAGGAAGGGAGGAGAAGAGAGGAAGGGAAGGGAGCGAAGGGGCAGGGTTCATCAAGAAAGGGGAGTGGGAGGGGGATAGTGAGGTAGTGGCGCGGTGGTAAGTGGGAGCAGCACAGGGAAGTGGGGTAGCTGTGCGTACGGAAGTGGGAGCAGCGCGGGTGAGAGTGGGGAAACAGCGCATACGGAAGGGGGAGGGAGGGGGGCTGAGAGTGAAGGTAGGAGACGGGCTGTGCGGTGAGGGACGGGAGGAGATGGGCGGAGGGAAAAGGGGAAGTGAGATGGAGGGAAGGGAGGCACAGGAGAGGAGAAGAAGGGCAGATTAGGAAGGAGGACGAGTGGCTGAGAGGGTGGGGAGTGGAAGAGCGGGAAGCATGAGTGAGCGATGAGAGGAGAGGGGCTGAGAGAAAAAGGAGGAGAGGGGCTGAGAGAGAAAGGAGGAGAGGGGCTGAGAGAGAAAGGAGGAGAGGGGCTGAGAGGGAAAGGAGGAGAGAGGCTGAGAGGATAAGGAGGAGAGGGGCTGAGAGGGAAAGGAGGAGAGAGGGAGAGGGAAAGGAGAGGGGCTGAGAGGAAAGGAGGAGAGCTGATGGGGAAAGGAGGAGAGGGGCTGAGAGGGAGGGGGGGAGGGGCTGAGAGGGGGAAGGGAGGAAATGAGAAGAAATGGAAAAAGCGGGGATTGGAGGGAAGAGAGGGTTCAGTGAGAGAAGGGAGGGAAGGGAGAAGGACGTGTGCGGGGATAAGGGCGAGAAGCGACGGGAGGGTAGGGGCAGAGGGAGAAGAGAGGAAGGGAGACGAGAGGCAAGGGAGGAGTGGGAGGGGAAACCGATGGGGGAAAAAGGGAAGTGAGACGGAGGGAAGGGAGACATCGGAGAGGGATGGGAGGAGAGGAGCGGTGAAGAAAGGAAGGCATGCGGCTGAGAGTGGGGGAAGAGGGACGGAGGGCGTGGGAAGGGAATGGGAGACTTGGGGGGGAAGTGAGGCATAGAGGGAAGGGAGCGAGCGGTGGGTGTGAGTGAGCGGTGGGTGGGTGTGAGTGAGCAATATGAAGGGGAAACTGTTCGAAGGGAAGGGGGGAACCTGCGCGTAGGGAAGGGAAGCTAAGGGAAGAGAGCGACGGGAGCAACAAGGGCGACGGGAGCGACGTGGGCGACGGGAGCGACGTGGGCGATGGGAGCGACGTGGGCGACGGGAGCGACGTGGGCGACTGGAGCGACGTGGGCGACGGGAGCGACGTGGGCGACGGGAGCGACGTGGGCGACGGGAACGACGTGGGCGATGGGAGGGACAGGAGGGGCGGGAGCTACGGGAGCGACGGGAAGAGGGACGGGGAGCCGACGCTCGCGGCGGGAAGAGGGACGGGAGCGGGACGAGGGGTGGGAGGGACGAGAGGAGCGGGAGCGACGAGAGGAAGCAGCACGGAGCAAAGGGCCGAAGTGCGAACGAAGGGAGTAAGGGCGAACGAGCGTGAGTGAGCGAAGAGCGAGAGTGAGCGACAAAGCGAGTGATTGACGGGAGTTTAGGGTTTGACGGGCGTGAGTGAGCCGGGAGCGTCCGTGACAATCTAAGGAAGCGAGGGCGACGGGCAGGGGCAAAGCAAGTGACAATGTAAGGAAGCGGCGAGGGCGACAGCGACGAGGGCGACGAGCTCGATCGGCGGGACGTTAGCGCTAGTGAGGAGTCACGTGTGTGACGGGAGGGAGGGGAGGGCAGTATATGACGGGGACGAGAGAGTCTGAATGGACGGGATTGAGTGTGCAGGGAGAGAACTACAATATTCTACGTTATGGAGCCTCCTAGGTATCGAGTCTATTATGGTGAGTTCTGGCTTCAAGTTTCCGGAAGTATGAACAGTGACCTGTTTGAGGCGAAAGTGTTGATCATTTTGCCAGGGTTGATCTCAACCAATCAGTCACACTTCATTGGAACCAAACTCCTGGATTGAGAAAGCTTGCTTCTGTCGCAATTGGCATCGTTCTCATTACAATGGGTTCAAGTACAACAGTTCCTAGCAGTTATACTAATATACTATCACATCCAAAATGTCTAAGAACTACTACTCTCATAAGCTGACTAGCCTGGGGAGGGTGGGTGGGAATTGAACTTGAGCGATTGTAAAATGAGAGACGTGGGTGGGGGAAGAATGACCCCAGCCCACATTATATATTCGGAGAAGGCGAATACCGCGCTTCGACGATGCACAAATTGCGTTACAGTCAGCTTCGCTTTCACAATACGCAAATTTGAAAGCGATAAAACGTTTTTTTTTTTTTGGCAATTTCTACTTCAAGAATCTTGAACTTGAACTCTAACCATTCTAGACTTGGGCTTTAAGGCGTTTCTGCCTATGTTGACGGCACAGTGGGTTCTTATAGCGTTCAAGCTGAAATATTTAGGCGTTTAGTCTATAAGCCTCCATAGAAAGCTTCGAGGTTACGGTATACACTACCTATGCCCTTATTATCTATGCCCTCTAGCTCCGGTTACGACCGACGGTGTTTTTGCATTGTACATTGTATAATGCATTTTCACCTACCAAAAAAATCGACCATTTGGTCGACTAAAACTTTCGCGAACTCCGACTACATGATCGATTTTGAAGTCGACTAGACTTCAACCCCATTTCGATCTTTATAACGACCAGACACATTCGGTGGCCGATTTGTGGGCCGCTTCATCGAAAGTGTCAGATTTGCAGGGTGTTTGGTGGCCGGAATGTGCGACGGAGTCACACAGCTAAACACTACAGTGTCACAATGCGTCGGAATGCATTGCGGTACAGGGTGTCTGTCAAACATTATATGTTGGCGTTCTGTAGGCTACAGTGGGTTTGGCCTTAGGGGGTACGATATTCTAGGGTTTCATACTTGTACTCCCATTCTTGCTAGTCCAAACATTCCTGTTTCTTCACATGGTATAGAGCGGGTTCCCTAGTGGGACCGTTTCTTCCTAGGGCCCACCGTTAATTTTTTTTTTTTTTTCCTGACCTGCCCTACCCTTTCGTGGCCCCTTAGCGGCCTGCGCTGCTCCTGAGGCCCCCCCCCCCTTAGCGGCCCCTTCGCGGCTCCTTCGCGGCCCCCCTTAGAGGCCCCCCTTCGCGGCCCCGCTTCGTCGCCAGTCGCGACCCCGCCCCGTCGCCACCCGGGTGTCGCCCCTGCCTCGTCGCGACGCCTCAGCGGGACCCGCGCGTCGCCCCCGCCACGTCGCGACGCCCCTGCGGGACCCGCGAGGCGCGGCTCCTGCGCATCGCGACGCCCCAACGGGACCTGGGCGTCGCCCCCGCTCGTCGCGACGCCCCTGCGGGACCCGCGCGGCGTCGCCCCTACCCGCCGCGGCGCCCTGCCCTAACCCGCGCCTCTGGCCCCTGGAGCAGCCCCCCTTACAGCAGCCGCCCCTGCAGCAGCCGCCCCTGGCCCCTGGAGCAGCCGCCCCTGCAGCAGCCGCCCCTGGCCCCTGGAGCAGCCGCCCCTGGAGCAGCCGCCCCTGCAGCAGCCGCCCCTGGCCCCTGGAGCAGCCGCCCCTGCAGCAGCCGCCCCTGGTCCCTGGAGCAGCCGCCCCTGCAGCAGCCGCCACTGGCCCCTGGAGCAGTCGCCCGCCCCTGGAGCAGCCGCCCCTGCAGCTGCCGCGGAGCCCTAGTCCTACAGTGGTAGCAGCTTCGCCGTTGCCGCCGTCGTACGCCTGCCCTTCTTGCCACTGGTGAGCACTGCCCTGCTACTGCTCCTGCTAGCCTGCTGCTGCTGCTGTCATGGCTACTCCCGCTGTTCTTACCTTCGATGCTGAGGGTCGTGCGATAGACTTTGAGGTCTGGCTCGATGATCTGCAGCTTTTCCTGCAGTGTGATAGCAAAGACGGTCTCTCGCTGTTCGATCTCACGTCGAGCGCCTCTCCTGCCCCTGCTGCCGATGCTGACAGTACTGTTCGCTCACAGTGGACCACACGCGATGCTGCTGCCCGTCTTGCTGTGCGTAGTCACCTGCCGTCCACTGAGCGCGCGCACTTTAGTCAGTACAAGAGTGCTAAGACCTTGTACGACGCTGTCGTTGCGCGCTACTCCTCCCCTGCCTCTGCTGCCCTTAGTCGCCTCATGCTGCCGTACCTTTTCCCTGACCTCGCCGCCTTTGCTACAGTCGCTGACCTCATTACGCACCTCCGCACTAGTGACACCCGCTACCGCGCTGCGCTTCCTGCTGAGTTCTGCGCCAAGAACCCCCCCCCCCCATGTACATCACCCTCTACTACCTAGTCACCCGGCTCCCTGACTCCCTTCACTCGGTCAGGGATCACTTCCTCTCTCTCTGCCCCACCACACTCACCGTTGACCTCCTCGAGGAGCGCCTCCTTGCAGCTGAGAAGAGCATAGTCGCTGTAGGAGCCTCTCGTGGTGACCCTCGTGCCCCTTTCTTTGAGGGGTGCTCCCCCGTTCCCCTTTTGCCCTCTGTTGCCTCTGCTGCTGCTGTCGACCTCCTTGGCACTGAGTCGGTCGGCGCTGTGTTTGCCCCTAGCGGGAGGCGCCGCACCGGCAAGGGCAAGGGGGGCAAGGGTGCTGGAGGAGCTAGCGGGGGTGGTGGTGGTGGCGGAGGAGGCGGCGGGGGGGGTGGGGGTGGAAGTGGGAGTGGTGGCGGAGGTGGGGGCTCTGGTGGCGGCGGTGGAGGCGGGGGCAGCGGTGGTGGCGGCGGTGGGAGTGGAGGAGGTGGCGGTGGCGGCGGTGGCGGCAGTGGCGGCGGTGGCGGTGGCGCTGGTCGTGGTGGCTCCGTGCACGCCGCTCAGTCGGCCGGTTGCGGTCTCTCTAGCAGACCCCTCTGGGGGTCCTGTCCTTGCCCACTACTCCACTGTGCTACCGTGTCCAGCGACCCCGTTTGGCTCCCTGTCAGGTCTTTACCTCCCCTCGTTCTCTACGAACTTGGTGAGTGGTGCTGACCTACAGGATGGGGGGGTTGACCAGTTCACTCCTGCGAGTCAGCGGGTGACCCACTGCACGTGTGCTCGGACGGGCCGACACTTGGCCACGTTTACCCGTCAGCCGGGGTCGAGCCTGTACACACTGACTACCGAGTCTCCTCCGGTTGCTGTGCCTGGTCAGGTAGCTGCGTCGGGTCAGGTGTTTGCTGCAGCGTCTCGGTCTGGTCCTGAGTCTGCCCCCTGCTCGTGTCGCCTCCTGTCCCACCAGACTCTTCTCTGGCACCACCGCCTTGGTCACCCCTCCCTGCCTCGTCTCCGAGGCATGGCCTCTCGTGTCCTTGTCTCTGGTCTCCCCCGGTCTCTCCCTCCCCTCCCTCCGGGGCCTGCCCCTACCTGCGTTCCCTGCGTCGAGGGGCGGCAGCGCGCCACTCCTCACTCCTCCGAGTTTCCGCCGACAGAGGCTCCGCTGCAGACTCTTCACATGGACGTGTGGGGCCCAGCTCGCGTCCGTGGACAGGGTCACGAGCGTTACTTCCTGCTGGTGGTTGACGACTACTCGCGTTACACCACGGTCTTCCCCTTGCGCCGCAAGGATGAGGTCACTGAGGTGTTGATCGACTGGATCCGCGCTGCTCGTCTCCAGCTCAGGAAGAGTTTTGGCTCGGACTTTCCTGTTCTGCGTCTGCACTCCGACAGAGGTGGAGAGTTTTCCTCCGGCCCTCTGCGAGCCTTCTGTCGTGCGAGGGGCATCCGCCAGACGTTCACGCTTCCGGCCTCCCCACAGCAAAATGGGATTGCTGAGCGCCGCATTGGCATGGTCATGGACGTCGCTCGTACGTCCATGATCCATGCGGCTGCTCCCCATTTTCTGTGGCCGTTTGCGGTTCAGTACGCGGCGCATCAGATCAACCTTCAGCCCCGGGTCTCCATGCCGGGGACCTCCCCCACTCTGCGGTGGACGGGGAAGGTTGGCGATGCGTCTGCGTTCCGTGTCTGGGGATCTCGGGCTTTTGTCCGAGACTTGTCTGCGGACAAGCTGTCCTCCCGTGCTGTTCCCTGCGTCTTCCTTGGCTTCCCCCCTGACGCG